AATCAATCATAGCTTCTTTGCAAATTATTGATACTTCCAAATCTAGGCTTAGCATCTCTTCTTAACAGTTCTTCTCCAGAATCTTGTCCGTGGTGCATGACTTGGGCTCCAAGCTTGTTCAGTCTGATTTTTTCATTACTTTGAAGTGGCCATCCTGAGGTCACCGAATAAAATAACTACAACCAGTAATTTAGTACTGTTATTTTTGCAGTCAAACGGAAGCATGAACTCGTCGGGTGAAGCACCGTTTTGGCGAGATCAGGAAGAAATTGTTATCACCGGCATCTCAGGACGTTTTCCGCGCTGTGAAAACGTTCAGGAATTTGGAGATTTGCTGATGGCCGGTGAAGATCTCGTCACCGAAGATAATTTACGTTGGCCACCTGGTAGCCAATTAGCGATTGTACATTCTATTTTATTGCCATAACAATTAAAACAAGAATGAATTTATTTCACTGCAAGTGCGTGTTAAAAGGCAATTCACTCTTTATGACAGGAAAAAATAACGAGTCGTTGCGAGAGCGGGATTCCTACTGACAGATTTCAGGCCATAGATTAAAGTCTGACAGTGATCATCGCCTGTAGTATTAATAAGCTCGCTAGTTACTATGCGAAATGAATTTCAGGTATATTCGATTTGCCAAAACGGCATGGAAAATTGAAGGATCTGAAAAAATTCGATGCACAATATTTCGGAGTAACACCTAAACAGGTTTAATCAACTTCAAATTTTCAATCTTAACATAGGATTTATCTGCTTAACAATTTTTTTGGGAAAAAGAACATGCTGTTTGTTTTAACCTTGAGCAAAATTCTGTTACATAGCAAATCATTGGAAAGCTAAGCTTGAACCGCTGACAGTAAGCAGAACAGTGTAATTTTATTTTTGGAAAACATATTTCATATACAGAATATTATAAAAATTCCTGAGAAGTTGCCATCAACCCGCACTTTGAATTTTTATTGGTTCAGGCAAATTATTTGGATCCCCAAGTACGAAAATTACTCGAAGTAACTTTTGAAGCGATTATTGATGCCGGTAAGTTGGAACTTTGTTTGCATCTCGCAAATTTTTATGCGTTTTTATTTGATTTATTCATTTCTTCTGTTCTTTAGTAGTTACAAGTTTGAGTGCAAACTGGAAATTATTTTGAGAAACAAAAACTGTCCTTCAAAATTAATTGTTTAAAGGATGAGCCTTTCGAGATCGAACGATAAGCAGCGGGGCACATCATTTTTATAAAAAACAACATACAGTTTTCATGAAGTCTTACTAAAAAAAATTTAAAATTGTGTGCTTTGAAACTACAATTCTTCTTATTCCATTCTCAATGAGCCTTTACTAAATGGTACAAAGTAGCATGACCAGAATTTTTTCAAAATATGCAAAGATTTTTTCTGAAATGCTAATTTTCTTTTGCATAAGAAACTCATACAATCGCTAATAAGGTTATAATTGTATTTTGCTTGAGCATTTTTT